TGGGTCCAAACTGAGATATCAGTTACAATGTCTGTTTCAGAGCATATCATCTTTAGTCATTTATTTGTCTCTATGTCTTCAGCTCACGAAACATAACAAGGATCAATTCTGCAGGGGCTTTGGCTCCTGTTGGCCCCTGTCTAAACGACCCATGTCTATGATAGAAGATCCTGCTTGTAAAGCCTTGTAGTTTGGAAATTAAACCCTGAAATGTTGTGATACTGACATATCCTGCAATAAAAAAAGGTAGATCATCAATCTCTTGTAAATAAACATCAAAATTAGTATTTTTCATCTCAACATAGAAACGTTTTCTTTTGGCCAACATCTACATTTTGGCACTGAAAACGGTTAATGAGGTTTTCTTAATGATTCAATTACAAAATCTAATGACTATAAGTATTTATGCTTCATTTAACTAAAATGGCCACCAATCCTGAATGCATTGCACCTCAGTAATAAATGAACACTTTGAATTATTTAAAGCTACAGGTAACATTGATATTGTATTGCAGCCCTTTTGTAAAAATACCAAAACGATTAAAATTTTAAGGTAGGCCTAAAGCATTGGTTAAAGACAAATAATAGGCCCTTGGTAAGTGGAGGTGCTACAGAAATCTTCAGCTCAGAATGTGTTTACTTTTGTTTACGATAAAAATTGGACTTTTGAAAGAGTGGCTATGTGAAAGCTATAAGAAATCCCAGTTTTAGTTTTCCACAAACTACGGATGTGATTGGATCAAACATGAGTCAAAGAAGGTTTTCTGGTCAGATGAGACCAAAACTGAACTTTTTTACCTGCATAAAATCCTGGAAACACCATCCTGGGATTGGGGATGCATGTTCCGAACAAAAAAATCTGGAAAGATTAAGCTGGGGCTGTCAAAAACTTTGTAAGAAGAGGTGGAGGCTGAACTTTAAAAAAAAAAAACATCTGAGGATTAGTGAACTGATCTGCTTGGTTATCCGTTGCAAACATCATGAAGCAATCTTGATATTTGGCAACCTGTAGACAGGACTCTTCATGTCTTTCCTCCTGCCTCTCCAGCATAAAAAATGAAACTTTTTCTTTTTGCAGTTTTCTGACAGATTCTCCACTTCAAGCTTGGGATCTCTGCAGCTCCTCCAGAGTTACCACAAGCCTTTATATGAATTTTCTGATTAATAAACCATAAGATAAAGTAGATGAATGTCTGTGTGAGTTTAAAACGGTGATGCACTCTTACCATTTTTGTGCAAATGGGTGAGATGTTCACAATCAAATCTTCACAATCTTCTCCCCGACCTGTTTTTTTTTCTGTTTTTTTTGGGGTTCCTTGCTCTTCATGCTAATAAATATCCTCTCATGTACCTCAATAGATTAGCTGCATCTGTTCTGATGGAACATTTAATCCACACTGATCTTTTTTATTTTGTTATATTTGAGTAAATCAGGTTAACAAATTAACGGTGCATTATGTTTGGTCTGTCATATATCAAACATACCTGTGAGTATTGTTTCAACATGAATTTGATTACTTTTGCAAAGCTGTAAGAAACCAGAGTCAGGTCACTTTATATAAACAGTTGTGTAATTCCCCCCAGTGCTGACAGTTTGGGCCATTTAGTGAATTCCTAAAGGCGGATTCATGATCAAGCGTCCATATCCTCATTTCTGACTAATTGGCTCCCAAAGTGATGCTGCTTGAGCTGCTGACGCACTTTGAGGTGCACCGATTGATCGCTCTGCTGAGCCCCGGCTGCCTCCTTTTGTTGATGACAGTGATGTTGACAATGGTGCCATGCAGAACCAGTGAAATATGCAGGTTCTATGCAATGTAGAAGCATCAAGCTGTGCTGAGCATGTCTTTTTTTATTTTAGACAAGCATATTTCCTCCATAGAAGCTGATTAATTCAAAACAATGGGAGTTAAACTGACTTTGTAGGCTTTTAAACCAGTTTTATATTTCCAGATTCAAATAGTTAGCTTTATAGCGCCCTCATGCGTTCAGCGAGGGTATATAAGGTTGTCTTCTCTGCCTCCTGATTAATTGGAGCATGACCTGCTTTCTGTGGATCTGACCCATGTCCAATAAGCAGCAAGCCAAGTTAAAAATCACACCTGTTCCCTCACTTCTGCTTTTCTGTGTTCAGTCAGTGGTCCTCCTCCCCATCAAAGGAGACATCTCTGCTCCTCCGAACCATATAGCCTCATAGCTCAGCATCCTGCAGCCTTTTGCATAGGATGATGGTTTATAGCTCCAACAGGGTTCACAAGGCTAAGCTGGGTTAATTATCTCTAAATCAAAAATGCATTTAATCCTCTCTGCTGGTCATAAACCAAAGTATGGGACTTTTTTTGCACATGATTGGGTTTGTCAGCTCAAGTCTCATCCTCTTTCTTCAGTTTATCTACTCCAAATGTTTCGCTCTGCTCTGCTCTGCAGGCTTCAAAGGGCTCGATCAGGCAGCAGACTGGAACGTTCCCACTTGCTCTTTGAACAAAGATGATAAAATAATGACGTCAACAAATTAAAGCCCAAGTAAATTACTTGGAATCTAATCATACTTGAAATATACTGCTATGGTTTAATTCCCTGGATAGTTCAGTTTCTCTGGAGGGCCATAAATAAACTTTTTTGATTATTTTTATTGCTTACAGAGCAGCTACATGGTAGATTTAAGCTTTTCTATCTGTATATTTCTTTTCAGGTGGTTTTTACCACTTTCCTTATTCTGGTTCTTGTGTTTTTTCTTTCTTTCAATAAAGATTTTATTTTGAACTGGTTAGTTTTGGCATGTAGTTTGTACATGTCCACTGCTCAAAAAGGTAGAGGGTATAGGTTGGACAGCTCAATCAAATTGTCTACTCAGGAATAAACACAGATTGACAATCAATTTCACATCCTGTTGTGCAAATGGAATAGAACACAAAAGGAAATTATCAGCAAGTAGCAAGACACTCAATAAAGGAGTTGTCGTGCAACTGGTTCCCCAATAGCACTTATAAGTACCTGTGCTTTCTGGTTGATGTTTTGATTACGTTTGAATGTTAGCGGTGCTTTCACACTTGTAGCTTAGGTAGTGCAGCTTGTCCAGGATTGCACATCAATGCGAGTTGTCGCAAGAAGGTTTGCTGTGAGCACTGAGCAGATTTTACAGAGTCTGGAGACATTGTGGGGAGCGATCTGCTGCATGCACCATCCTTCGGCATGACCGGTTTAGCAGTAGGTCACTAACGGTGTGAGGTGGCTTCCATGTGCTTGCCAGAGGTAGCATGACTGCCACTGGGTACCGAGATGAGATCCTCAGACCCCTTATCAGACCATATGCTGGTGCGGTTAGCCCTGGGTTCCTCCTAATGCTAGACCTCATGTGACTGTAGTGTGTCAGCAGCTCCTGCAAGATGAAGGCATTGAAGCCCATTCACCAGACCTTAATCTGATTGAGCACATCTGGGACATCATGTATTGATCCATCCACCAACATCATGTTGCAGCACAGACTGTCTAGGAGTTGGTGGATGCTTTAGTCCAGATCTAGGAGGAGACCATCCACCACCTCATCTGGAGCATGTCCTGCTGTTTTAGGGAGCCGCATTTTGATCTGATTTAAGGACTTGACATCAAGATCGAATCTGCCTGTAGTGTGTTTTTCCAATTTTATTTTTTTGTGTGAAATCCAGGCCTCCATAGCTTAATACATTTTATTTCCATTGATGATGTTTGTGTTTTTGTCATCAGCACATTCAACTTTGTACAGAACAAAGTCTTCAATAAGAATA